GGCTAACGTCCGCCCGTCTGCAGCGGCCAGGGCTAACGTCAGCCCGTCTGCAGCGGCCAGGGCTAACGTCAGCCCGTCTGCAGCGGCCAGGGCTAACGTCAGCCCGTCTGCAGCGACCAGGGCTAACGTCAGCCCGTCTGCAGCGGCCAGGGCTAACGTCGCCCCGTCTGCAGTGGCCAGGGCTAACGTCGCCCCGTCTGCAGTGGCCAGGGCTAACGTCAGACCGTCTGCAGCGGCCGTCTCTCAGTGTGTGTGAAGTACCGCTGGCTCTGACAGAGGTTTGATTGTTTAATTTGGCAAAATGTTCATTTGATTTGTGTTTATTTGACCGTTTTCATTATTATTCCTCCACTAAATGAAAAAAGTCATAATTTATTTTTATCTAGGGTTCAGGTTTTCTTTCCAACCAAGCAATCGCACACCAAGCTCGTCATCTCATCAACAGAGTGCAATCTGAACACGATGACTTGATGAGATGAATGGAGTCACCCCTGATCAAAGACTATTAATAACAGGAGGTGAAATGCAGCTCCAAACTAGCTTTGAATGTGGTGATGTCATCAGTACACTTCTGTTCCAATTGACCCAGATTTATGCTGCATGCTCCCGTTCTCCCCCGAGTCCAGACTTTCCTTGGTTCTTGTCAAGAACATACTTGAAGAGGACACGAGTCCGTACTCGTGTTCTTGTGAACTGAGAAACAGTCTCTCTCTCCTCAAGTGGAATCCACTCCCAGTAGTCTGGGAGGAAAACTAGGTGGTCACATTCTGATGCTCTTACCATTCAATAGATCGGATCAGATTAGAGAGGATTGTGTAAAAGTGAAGGCGGCCTGTGGCTGATATTTGACCATCTCCTGGACATAGCAGCGATAAACGCCTTGGTTTAGTTCAGGAGCTGTTTGAACGTCACCGTCTGACACAGAGATTTTATCCTTGAACTGGTAAAACGTTGCGTGCCGACAACATGCAGGTTACAGCCTCCGCAGCTGAACAGCAGCTTTGGAGAGACAAAGAAAACTAAAAAACACTCCTATGATGTTTGTCATTAATTTGGAAATGTTCAGTGGAAGTAATCAATTTCTGTAAATAAAATAGCAATTCCAAACTTTCAACCTGTGTAATAAAACAGTCTGATTTATTTTACTGATTTATTTTAATACAAATTTAGAACACAAAACCCTATAGTACAGCCTTTAAAGAATGTATATTAGACCTATTTTTTAATATTGTCCTATTTTCCTTATTGTCTACATATCCACAATAGGTTTATATGATTCCCTAGATGATGATTATGATTCACCATTTCAGTCGATGACATCACCACTACTCATGCGTTCCAATGGGAAAAATGTCACCTGTCAAACTGACGGACAGTGGGAGCTCTAGGATCAGAATTCTGGAAGTCCTAGTGTAAAAAAGTAACCCATCTAGACTACAGCACGGCTCTCTAGGTAACTCCCGGCCTGTTCTGGGCCCTTTTCCGGGCCTGCTCACGGACTGCTCTAAGCCTGCTCTCGGACTGCTCTAAGCCTGCTCTCGGACTGCTCTAAGCCTGCTCTCGGACTGCTCTAAGCCTGCTCTCTGCCTGTGTTCTAAGCCTGCTCTCGGCCTGTGTTCTAAGCCTGCTCTCGGCCTGTTCTAAGCCTGCTCTAAGCCTGCTCTCTGCTTGTTCTAAGCCTTCTCTCGGGCCTGTTGTAAGCTTGCTCTAAGNTCTAAGCCTGCTCTCGGCCTGTTCTAAGCCTGCTCTAAGCCTGCTCTCTGCTTGTTCTAAGCCTTCTCTCGGGCCTGTTGTAAGCTTGCTCTAAGCCTGCTCTCGGCCTGTTCTAAGCCTGTTCTTGACCTATTCTAAGCCGGCTCTAAGCCTGTTCTAAGCCTGCTCTCGGCCTGTGCTAAACCTGCTCTAGGCCTATTCTAAGCCTGCTCTTGGCCTGTTCTAAGCCTGCTCTCTGCTTGTTCTAAGCTTTCTCTCAGGCCTGTTCTAAGCCTGTCCTAAGCCTGTTCTAGGCCTGCTCTCTGCCTGTTCTAAGCCTTTTCTAAGCCGGCTCTCAGCCTGTGTTCTAAGCCTCCTCTCAGCCTTTTTTTACCCTGCTCTCGGCCTGTTCTAAGCCTCTTCTAAGCCTGCTCTCGGCCTGTTCTAAGCCTGCTCTCTGCTTGTTCTAAGCTTTCTCTCGGGCCTATTCTAAGCCTGTCCTAAGCCTGTTCTAAGCCTTTTCTAAGCCGGCTCTCAGCCTGTGTTCTAAGCCTCCTCTCTGCCTTTTTTAAGCCTGCTCTCAACCTGTTTTAAGCCTGCTCTAAGCCTGCGCTTAGCCTGCTCTTTGCCTGTTCTAAGCCTGTCCTAAGCCTGTTCTAAGCCTGTCCTAAGCCTGTTCTAAGCCTGCTCTCGGCCTGTTCTAAGCCTGCTCTCGGCCTGTTCTAAGCCTGCTCTCGGCCTGTTCTAAGCCTGCTCTCGGCCTGTTCTAAGCCTGCTCTAAGTTTGCTCTTGGCCTGTTCTAAGCCTGCTCTCTGCTTGTTCTAAGCTTTCTCTTGGGTCTGTTCTAAGCCTGTTCTAAGCCTGCTCTCGGCCTGTTCTAAACCTTTTCTAAGCCGGCTCTCAGCCTATGTTCTAAGCCTCCTCTCTGCATTTTTTAAGCCTGCTCTCAGCCTGTTCTTAGCCTGCTCTTGGCCTGTTCTAAGCTTTCGCTCGGCCTGTTCTAAGCCTGCTCTCGGCCTGTTCTAAGCCTGCTCTCGGCCTGTTCTAAGCCTGCTCTCGGCCTGTTTTAAGCCTGCTCTAAGTTTGCTCTTGGCCTGTTTTAAGCCTGCTCTCTGCTTGTTCTAAGCTTTCTCTCGGGTCTGTTCTAAGCCTGTTCTAAGCCTGCTCTCGGCCTGTTCTAAACCTTTTCTAAGCCGGCTCTCGGCCTGCTCTAAACCTTTTCTAAGCCGGCTCTCAGCCTGTGTTCTAAGCCTCCTCTCTGCATTTTTTAAGCCTGCTCTCAGCCTGTTCTAAGCCTGCTCTCAGCCTGTTCTAAGCCTGCTCTAAGCCTGTTCTAAGCCTGTTCTAAGCCTGCTCTAAGCCTGTTCTAAGCCTGTTCTAAGCCTGCTCTTGGCCTGTTCTAAGCCTGCTCTCTGCCTGTTCTAAGCTTTCGCTCGGCCTTTTCTAAGCCTGCTCTCGGCCTGTTCTAAGCCTGCTCTCGGCCTGTTCTAAGCCTGCTCTCGGCCTGTTCTAAGCCTGCTCTCAGCCTCCTGCTGGCTGTCCCGAGGCATGTTGCTGCGGCAGCTGTGAAACGCGTCTCCTTGGATAAGAAGGTCCTTTTCCCCTTGGTCTCCAACACAACATTAGTTGTTTGTTTCTTCCCCTCAAGAATCAGCTGAGTTCTTGGTTTTAATGTCTGGTTTAATTCTGGTCTACAGTCGGTTGGTTTGAACTGAACTGGATTTGGATGTTCCCCTATGGGCGCAATACGTACCGACTGCAGAGGAGACAGAGCATCTCCTAAACCCATGGTCAGAGGAGCCATCTGGAAGACAAGAACAGACGTCTGTGAGACCGCAGGGTTCCCTGACATGGTGACCTGCTGCATTATCGGCTGGTACCTGTAAGCTGGTGAGCTGCTGCTGCTGCACAAGCGTCTGTTTTACCAGAACACTCTTGATGCTCTGCTCCATTGCATACTTCTTGGCCTACAGAGAAAACACAGAACATTCTGAGAACACAGCACCATTCCAGAGCTGCCTGATGTTCTGCAGTCCATGGTGGAACAGAAGGGCCAGAGACTGAACTGATCCAACACTTCACTAAAGGTTCCACAGGTTCCAGCAGTTCTACTGGTTCCAAATACACCGCTACAGGTTCAATAACTGTTCTAAAGGTTCCAAATACACCGCTAAAGGTTCCATAACTGTTCTACAGGTTCCAAATACACCACTACAGGTTCAATAACTGTTCTAAAGGTTCCAAATACACCGCTAAAGGTTCCATAACTGTTCTACAGGTTCCAAATACACCGCTACGGGTTCCATAACTGTTCTACAGGTTCCAAATACACNGGTAACCGATGAAGGGTTCTCTGACCCGCTGACTCTGATTGGGTCACCTATGTACGGTCCTCTGACCCGTTCCCTTTAATCGGGTAACCGATGAAGGGTTCTCTGACCCATTGACTCTAATCGGGTCACAGATGAAGGGTTCTCTGACCCATTGACTCTAATCGGGTCACCAATGAACGGTTCCCTGACCCGTTGACTCTAATCGGGTCACCGATGAAGGATTCCCTGACCCGTTCCCTCTAATCGGGTCACCGATGAATGATCCTCTGACCCGTTGACTCTTATCGGGTCACCGATGAAGGGTTCTCTGACCCATTGACTCTAATCGGGTCACCGATGAACGGTTCCCTGACCCGTTTACTCTAATCGGGTCACCGATGAAGGGTTCCCTGACCCGTTCCCTCTAATCGGGTCACCGATGAATGATCCTCTGACCCGTTGACTCTTATCGGGTCACCGATGAAGGGTTTTCTGACCCGTTGACTCTAATCGGGTCACCGCTGAACTGTCCTCTGACCCGTTCCTTTTAATCTGGTCACCGATGAACGGTTCCCTGATCCGTTCCCTCTAATCAAGTCACAAATGAACGGTTATCTGACCCCTTGACTCTAATGGGGTCACCGATGTGCGGTCCTTTGACCCGCACTCTCTAATCCGGTAAAAGATTAAGGGTTCTCTGACCCGTTGACTGATCTGAAACCGATGTACGGTCCTCTGACCTGTTCCCTTTAATCTGATAACCGATAAAGGGCCCTCTGACCCATTGACTCTAATCGGGTCACTGATGTACGGTCCTCTGACCCGCACCCTCTAATCAGTTAACCGATAAAGGGTTCTCTGACCCCTTCCCTCTAATCGGGTCACTGATGAACGATTCTTTGATCCGTTCCCTCTAACCGGGTTACCGATGAACGGTTCCCTGACCCATTCCCTCAAATCGGGTCATCGATGATCAGTCCTCTGACCCGTTGACTCTAATCAGGTCACCGATGAACGGTTCTCTGACCCGTTCCCTCTAATCGGGTCACCGATGAATGGTCCTCTGACCCGTTGATTCTAATCGGGTCACCGATGAACGGTTCCCCAACCCGTTCCCTCTAATCGGGTCACCGATGAATGGTCCTCTGACCCGTTGACTCTAATCGGGTCCCCGAGCAACGGTTCCCCAACCCGTTCCCTCTAATCGGGTCACCGATGAATGGTCCTCTGACCCGTTGACTCTAATCGGGTCCCCGATGAACGGTTCCCCAACCCGTTCCCTCTAATCGGGTCACCGATGAATGGTCCTCTGACCCGTTGACTCTAATCGGGTCCCC